TTAACATGGTGTATTAGTCGGGTGCCTCTCATTCCTCATTACAGCTCCTGACAAATATATTCATAGACGCAAACGTCAGGGAGCGGGAGTTGGGCGGTCTACTCGCTACAGTAAAAAAAAAAAAATAAGTTTTATGAATGAATAAGATATGTAAATTAAAACCGATTAAGAAAACTACTTTATCACGACCTAAATATTCCTATTATTTAAATTTTCATTCATATTTAAGAATAATAATAAAGAAACATTCCCTAGGATTTTATGATTCATTCACCGTTCATGTGGACAGAATTTTCTTATAAATTCTCCGGAGTAAAGTTGGAAAATATATATTTAATAAGTAAAAGTATAAATATATTTTATAGAGAATGTTTTTATAGACATTTTTACATAGACTGACTGTGAAAACTGTTTATTTTTATTTGAAGGTTGGAAAAAATAAAAAGTATTTTTCAGTTGTTAACATTATTAGCTTTTAGCAGAAAAAGTTGTTGAAATGTACCTATCTTATGGAAGCTGTCCTCCTTCCCCTCATGTTTAACGTATAAATATTATAATATATTCTTTTGTTCAGATATTTTGAAGTACAACCAAAATCACAACTGTCTAAACATATATATATATAAATTTATTATTTTTTTTTTTTGTAATTTTTATTATTGAAATTTACAACTGTATTTTTTATTGCCCATTTCATTTTTTTATTTTTTTTTTATTTTGTTATTTTAAATTTGCCACTGCGTTGGAACGCATCAAGCAAATGTGTTGGCGTTAATTATATCTTCTTGATTCCTGATATCTTCTTAACTTTTCAGCAGATCTCTAGGCCACTGCCTTTTTAGTCGTGTTTGAGGCTCACCAGGTAACAGGAAGGAAGATAGAGATAGAACGAGTGGATTTGGATGATTGAGAGTAGAAGTGTGAAATGTTGTGTATTTGTTGTGTATGTAGGATTTTACTTTTGGTATGTTCATGTCTTTGTGTATGGTGTGATTTGAAATAAACCAAGGAGCATTGACAATTTTACTGAGTATTTTGGATTGTGTGGTTTGAATTTTGTTGATGTGTGTGTGTTTTGCGGAACCCCAAAGTTCTGCTCCGTATGTCCAAATAGGTCTTAGTATAGTGGTGTAGATTAGTCGCTCGTTTAGTAAGTTGAGTGGAGATCTGTAGTCCAAAAGATGTGACAGTTGTTTGTATCGTCTGGTCAGTTCTTGTTTTTTTAATTTAGTGTGAATGTTCCAGGTGAGTTTTTTGTCCAAGTATAGTCCGAGATACCGTACATGTGTTTTTGAGGGAACTGGTTTATTGTCTATTGTCACAGCAGGACACGAGATCTTCCTCAGGGAGAAACTAACATGAGTTGACTTGCTGGGATTGATGTTAATTCCCCATTTGTGAATACAACTAGTAAATATGAAACAAGTAATATGACGTGTACAACATGAAGAGAAACTACCGATTGGTAGCACTCCAATTATATTTCTATATTAGAAAGTCCCGAGGCCATCTTCTTTTCAGACGCCTCGGAGGGTTATCAGGAATAGAAGAGGAAGCAAGGTTGGAAACAACAGGGTTCGGATGGTTCAGAAGTTTATTATGGAAGGATAGGTAACTGGATTGAGCTAAATCGGAAACATGTGGTATATTAATGTCATTATGGATGATTTTATTTGTGACAATGTAGGGAGCATTGAGGATTTTACGAATGATTTCGGATTGTAGAAATTGGGTACGAAAGGAATTTGATGGTTTAGTAGAGCCCAAATTTATTTTTTAATATCCAATGTGATAAATAAATCCAATGTGTGCGTTTCACTTTAAGTATGTTAAATTTGTACACATAGTCTAAACCACCGCTAAGTTATTTTATTTTTTTCCATTACTCTATCAATTAAAAATGATAGTCTGCGTCTATGAATACAGAAAACACAATTCTTCTATTCATATTATGTCTAAATATTGAGATTTGATAACATTGTCCGTTTTTTATTAAAAATATCACAAGAAACAAGCAAAATCGTCATGTTATGTTCTGCCGACAAACAAGTCGAAATAGCGACCAACTCGAACAAAATTAAAAACACAAAGTCAGCTATATTTTAACTCAATTTAAAGAAAACTACTCCGAGGAAATAAGATCCGGTAGTGAGCCATTAGGAGGGGCCTAACGCAATAACACGACACATTTCTACTCTAATTGTGCCGTAAACTCCTCTAGCTGCTATCATCGAGAATAATGTAATAATAAATACGGATAGTGTTTCTGTCCATGATTTGCCAGGTAAGCAACTATTTCGTTCATATTTACTAAGACGATTTCAATTATCTTTCTTTGAATAATGTTTATATATCCACGTAAGCCCTAAGAACAAACGAAAATAATTACTTCACAAAGAATATATTTCCTTCCCAATATTCGTTGTAATCAAACTGAAAGCCGCTTGTCCTATATAACCTCGTTGTTTCCACAATTTGGGGGTGTAGGTCACGCAAAACGGCTCAATATTTTTTAAGGCCGCCTTCTTTCTCGACTTTGTGCTCAAGTTATCTTTTGATTCAATTGGAAAGCAAATGGATATTTACGAATTTTTAGTACCTAATTAAATAGACAAAGTTTGCCGACCTCCAAATTGCCGATCCTATCCCGAGAATTTTCGTAAATAATATATTTGTAGATTACGATGAGATAAAGCAATTTACGAAATTTCAGCCGGATGTTAATAATTTGATAAAAAGGAGTCTGTACTACACGGACTATTGCGGATAAGGAACATTCGTATGATAGTATATTTGGAATAGCGAATGATATCAAAATGAATTTTAGTTTTCAATTTTATGTTGAAGAAAAGGTGAAAAAAGTGATTTTTTGAAACTAAGTATTCCTCTAGTCTGCTTAATGAAAACTTAAACAAATGATGAAACATCTTACGTAGTTTTAAAGTTTATTCATTTCTCCAGTTTTTCAAGAAACAAAAATAATATGTTGACAACAAATCAAATTAAGAAGTTACGATCTTATTAAAATATGACTATAGTTATTTGGTTCACTAAAAGGTTATATCTTAAATATTGTCTGGCGCCTAATAAAACCTTTCTGACAAATCTGATAAGTTAGTCGGAAAATGAAATTAAAAAAAAAAAATTAAAATGCGAAAGTTTCGAAAGATGAGAATAGATTGTTTTTTTCACTTTTCCATCAAATGCAACTTTTTTTGGAAAATAAACAAATCGAAAACCATTAAAAAAGCTCTATTGTGTAAAATTATCGGGAGATAGGCTAGGCCTTTTGTAGATAAAGGAACTTTTTGGTTAGAAATTCGATAAAGAATTTCTGGTATTTTTTTTTATTATACTTATCTTTATATTTCTTATAATATTATAATTGGTAAGTGAACATAAAATCGAGCATAGTGTATGCATCTTTATTTCATGCAATGAAAAATTAGTAAAATAAGGTAATCTGCAAGAGACAGTAACTCCTAACTTCCTGCACTCATATCGTCCTTTAAGACCAGAGTCCGCCGAAGGAAAAAGGATACACACATATCCTTCGTGCAACATTTGAATACGATAAAGGAAACAGAATGTCCATAGTATACCCTCTCAGCTACCTTATTAGATCTATCGTCTTTCATCTACCTCTCCCTCCTCTTTTTCTTCCAAGATGTATGATCTCTCAAGAAAATCCAGTCAGAATAAAACATATCCACGCCTATCGTCCAGGATTGAAAGACATGGATCATAATACATCCAGGTGTTTTAAGTTTTTATCCTGAACATATTTTATAAAGTTTCTTAATTAGAGTGAATTTTCTTGAGCAACCTAAGACAAAAGCTAATTGACCAAATTATTTCATTATTTTTTTTTATTCTTGTTGCTAAAGAGCCATTGTAAAAAAAAATCCTACTTATCAATATCAAACCAAAACTAGAGATACCTGCCATAACATTGCATCACCATAACACCGATTCAGGTTACTTATTTATATATATATACATATTTTCATTAATACATGTCTTTAAAAGAATAAAAATAATCGTATAAAGTATTTTATGTATATATAGTTTGACCGGAATTAGTTGGGAATCAACAGATAAACTTATGGGGCCAATAAGTTTATTTTGACCGGGGGCCATACATACATTTTATATAATAGTCACACAATAAAATATATAAACACACACACACATATATATATATATATATATTCAGATTCAATCTGATTTTGGACTACATGCAACAAGAATGATTAAATAAAATGGCTTGAAAATGGCTTACTAGCCGAAACTTGAATAATTGAAAATTGAAATAAATGTAGTGAAGAAATAACAAAACACAGCCTTATTTTATATTATTATAAATACTTCACCTAAAGCAAATAAGGACATATAGATGTAGATCAGTTATTTACTCTAGTTAATTTTTTTTCTGTTTTTTCACTACAATTATTTGCTTATAAAATTAATTTAACGTTCCTTTCTAATTGGATTTAGCTATTTTGATTTTATTGTTTTTAGCAGCTATATTGCAGCATTTTAACACCATTGGTCATATACTGTTTTTATTTTATCTTCATAGATAAAATAATATGTACTTGTCTTATTACTTATGTTTTAGTTATTATTTACTGTAATAGGTCTTTTGGCCATATTTAATGGTAATTTACATGAACAGTTATTCTTAAGGGACTTTGTCCCAGAATAAAGTTCATTTTCTATAATAGAATATAAACAAAATCACATAATAGTCACAAATATAAACATATATTGAAGGTGTTCTTCTTATTTATTTATATCTTGGTAAATATTTTGTAAGCAATATTGGAGGGTTAGGGAAAAACAAAATGTTAGTTTCAACTTACAATTAGTGCCGAATGAGTTCACCCACGGGCTCTAAAATTATCATGGTTGGACTATAGGATTAAATATATAATTCTTTATATATATAAAATTTTATATCATGTTTATAATTTATGATCTTTTTTTTTTTTTTTTGCAGACATAAATATGTTGCTCTACGTATCCATACTCCTCTCCGTCGTTTGTTTAGCGATGGCCGACGATGTCATATTACAAAAGAGGGTAAGTCACATGCATATATAGATATATTGAGTATGTGAGAGAAATTGTTTGATTTATTGATTATGTTTTATTTTTTATGTATCTAGTTTATAGTTAAAGCTAAAGTAATCTCTCAGGATTATTTGTTATTCAGCAGTTTGGCGTTACCAACCACTTCAAAATGTCAAAACAACGAGATTTTATAGGCCAAACAGCCCAATATGTTTGTAGGGCAACCTTTATCTCGTTTTTTTAATCAAATTATCTTACGATCCAAGTGGAAAGCAAAAAGTATTTATGAGTTTTTAGTACCTAATTAAATAGACAAACTTTTCAGATCTACAGATTAAAAACGCCTCAATTTCAACAGTTTTCGTAAATAAAATAGTTGTAGATTACGATGAGATGAAGCTGTTCACGAAGTTTCAGACGAATGTTAATAATTTGATTTTTAAAAAAGGGAGGGAGGGGTCTGTACAACAGAATATAAACTTTTCTGGATAGAGCCCATGATTGAATTATAACATATGTTATTTAAACAAAAAACAATGAAAATATCACGTCACCATTTCATTTGTATATTCTATTTTTAGAACCACTCTATTCTTGAATACCAGTTTTTTTTTTTGTTTTTTAAGTATTACGTAAGTTCTCAATGCTTTTATCAAAGAATGGGCTCGTACGCCTACAGACCCTTTCCGATGATGGAGGGGGGGGGGGAGAGGAAAATCGTAAAGCTTTTTTTCGGAAATGAATAGGAACTGAAATAGATCCACTTGAATAAGAGTGAAAGAATGTACCTCTAATACCCTCTTCAACTAAGAGAGGCCGCGTTGAGAGAACTTCGATCTTGAGGATTATTGAAATGCTCCACAGCCTTCTTGAGAGAATATTGTTCCCCGGTTACCGATGTATTTGGAAAGGAATTAACTTACGAAAAGTATAGGGGAAGACTTTTCCTTATAAACTGGCTGCATTTAAAATTATTGGAACATGACAACTATTCATGATGGTATATGCTCGGGATTTTCACCGCCATCATGATTCGAAAATGATATCTCTCAACTAATTCAGTATCCATTGATCAATATAGCAAGAGCAAACACATCAGCAAAGACAAATGAAGGATCAAATTACAGCGCCTATATATTTAAAAGGTGCGTTTAGACGTTTCACGAACTATGGGGAAATATAATTATCTAAATTAACTAGCTACATTAGATATTAGCCCAACTTTTTTTTTATTTCTCTTGTTACCGGCAGCAGATAGAAAACATAAAAAGCATGAAATAAAAACACTAACATGGAGAATCCTTCTAGACGAACATATTCCAAAGCACAAGTACCGCCAAAAAGTATTTCCACAAAAAGTATTTTAAGTAGTTTCATAGCTCTGTTTAACAGAATGAAATAAAAACATCATGAACTCCTGATTAAAAGATATATACTGAAAACTACAAAAAAAATCATATTTTGCAATTTTATAATTTAATTTGCGAATAAAAAAGAAAATAGAAATAAAGAAGAAGAAAAATAAAGATTAATGATATATTTTAATATGTACAAAAGTTGTTTCGATATTAAGACTCGTTATAATTTTATCAGAGGCGCTTTTTATAAAAATACTATCGATTTTAATATTGCGCAATCACATATCGATTTTTTTTGTGATGTTTCAAATTTCTCAGATATTAGAGTAAATTATTATGTTGTTGGAAATGCTTTTTATAGAAATGCAATCGATTTTAATATTGCGCAATCACCTGTGTATTTTTTTGTAAATTTTGAAACTTCTTAGATATTAGGATAAATTTTATGTTATCAGAGGCGCTTTTTATGAAAAATTTATCTATTTTATGATTGAGAAGTCGCGTATCGATTTTTTTCTAACATTTACGATTTCTTCGGTATGAGAATCCATTATTATGTCATCGGAGGCGTTTTTTATAAAAATACTATTTATATATTTTTATTTATTTATTTTTTTAAACTACCAACAATAATAACTGGAAAAACTCTTGTATGTTTCAGATGTTTTATCCTGGAGAGTCAACGGAGCCATTCGACCCCAAAGTTAAGAAACCATTCTGCAACGCTTTCACAGGTCATTAACACAACATATACTATATAATATAATAAATAATATATCTGAATATAATAATACATCAAGATTTATGTTTTGATTCACACAAAGCAAGGGTGGATGAGATTGCTTAAAGGACACCAAAAGCTGTAATAAAAAAAAAATATCCCAGATTACCTATGAATTTCCCATGATAACATGGTTTCTTTTTCATGTAGGATAGCAAAAAAAAATATTTAAAAAAACAATAAATTGATTAATTATTAATTTATATTGAATATTTAATAGTTGGCCGTTGCATTATTAAGGAAGGAGGTGGTCCGGGGTGGCGGTCATAAATAGGCTAAATAGTGGCAAAACTTAGAACTATAAAACTACAAAAAACTTTCAGTTCTAAGTGAAATTCCTAGCTGAAAAAACCTCCCTGAAGAAGACCTGCAAAGTCGGGTCGAAACGTTGGCTTTTAATAAAATAGTTTTGCCACTATTTAGCCTATTTATGACCGCCACCCAGGACCATCTCCTTCCTTAATTATTAATTTATTTTTCAAAAGAATATCCCCGGATTTGCTGGAGGGGAGGGGGCTTTGGGGATGAAGCTCCCCTCTCCCAAAATGGTAAAATATAACCATGTTTTATGGAGAAAAAGAATATTTAAAAATTACCTCTTAAAGGATTATTGTTGTTGTAATTACATTTAAAAGAGCCTTACAAATCACTTAAACACCAATTCATATAGGTAGTTAGTTTATTTTTTTTTTTCTAAAGCAATTATAGTTATTTTTATGGGAAAAAAAGCTTTCGGGCTGAAGCCCTCCCCCCCCAAAAAAAAAAAAATTAAATCATTAATCCGCTAGTGCGAATATCTATTATATAAGGAATGTATATAATAATTGCTACTCCATCTACAATATACACAAATCGAATAACGTCTATTGATTGTATTAGTTTTTATTAGATCAGCAATCAGCATTGTGTATTTGTAGAAATAATAAAGGAGTTCGGAACAGCTGATTCGGTTGCCTATGGCAACAATAGAAAATTTTTAATCAACAAAATAAATTCGTATTCTCAAACAGAACTAGTAGGGATAGATCAAAACAATTGTGGAGAATACAAACCTGAAAACATTTTGACATCGCCTCCAAAAAAGATTTCAACTTATATGTACATTTTACAATTTTTTTTTTAAAATATTTCCAGGCTTATTCAAAATTTAGGTATAGATAGGTTAAAACTTCAGGATTAGGTTAAAACTCTAATACTAAACATAATTATTATCAAAATGTCACCAATAAGATATATTAAAATGGGAGAAAATAACAAAAACGGATAGGAGAATCACTTAAGCACGCGCTACCATTTGATACCCACTGCGATCCTTATATACACTCAATCATTACTATAAAAAGTTATTAAAAAATCTGGTGCGCGCAACACACAACTTTCACTTACCGCTCTACTTTGAATAAAAATTATTTTCTGGCAATGCTGGGCTATTATAAAATTTTTTGAAGTGCATTTTAAACGAAGCTAAAGCTTAAAGCTTACAGATAACAAGTCATCAAGACCGTTACAATTACAAAATGCCTATTTAATATATCGACGACAGGCAATAAAAATCTAGTCACTCTATCTGCTTTTATAAACCACAGAATGACTAACTCCAATTTCAACATTTTTGAGTGATGTCATTTTAGTGATATTTTTAGTTGAAAAAGTTATCTATGCAGACAATGAGTAAGTTAATTCCGGAGGTAGTGATTGCAGTGTTGAAATATAGAACTGAGAATAAAGGTATAAATTTAGGTACTTATTTCTTATGAAAGATGTTCCTAGGAAAGATACTTTATAAAATATCTGTATAAAAAAGGTTTTTTTAGTCTCAACAATTAAAAAAGTATATTTTAAATTTATCCAAATGTTCGCCTCTTCGGGAAAAAAACTAGAGACCATATCTGTTCTCCTAATTGTCCGATTTTAACGATTTTTTTTTTTTAATTTTTAGGAAATTCCATAAACTGTTAAAAAACCAAAAGTGTATACTTTTTGAGTTATTCGGAATTTAATTTTACCATCCCTCGTAACTTTTTTTCCAGCTTCTTTTCGTTGAAGTATGTTATATAGATAAATTTAAAGGGTGTCGAGAAAATGACTTTAGCGAACTTTCATTAAAATTGGTACATTCGTTTAGGCGCTACAGTTTGCAGCAACGCAGGTTTTTCTACATTTTTCTTTTTTTTTCTCCTTTATTAACTTAACAAATTTTTTCAAAAGTTATATGTAGCATTTTTTCGTAACTCTGAATAATGCGAAATGATTATTTTTTTTTAAATAAACCATATTAAAGATACTTTAGAGGAAGACATATATGAACATTGGGCATTTAAGCCCTGTAAAGTGACATCAACGGGGATAATACCTAACTGATATTAAATACCACTTAATCATACAATGATACACCGAGTTTAATCAAAATCGTTAGAGCCGTTTTTTAGAAAATTGTGAAAATGTGTTTCAGCGTTGATATAAAGTGGCACTTCCGGTTATCCGATTTTAAGGGAAAAGTTGCCATCACATCTAAGGCATATACCTATCTTAAATACGTAATATCATTTTCGTAGAACTTTTCGTTTTTGAGCTAGACTGCTAACATACAAATACACAGACTATTTTTCGGGACTTGGTCATTTCGACTCAGCGTACCTCAAAACGTGTATTTCCGTTGAAAACTCAGATTCAAAAATTTTCTCGATCTCAATACTTACTCTTACTATATATTACATATATACGTAAGTGAAAGTAAAAATGGAAAATTGCCTTTATTTCATCCCTACCTAAACAATATGACAATACGAGATTCGGCAACAATAGAACGTGGCTGAATGCAGAAAACCTCCCTTGCCAATTTTCCTCACTTCATTCATTGTTTCTTACGATCTTTTTTTTTCTTTATTCAACCCAGGGTTGCCTCGCATTCTGCGAAAAATCCTCGTACTTCAACCTCGTACACTAGCTCATTGAAAATTCGTACTATTGTAAGCTCAATATTATTGTGTTTTTTTAATTAAATTAGATCAGAGCTTTACTTATTACCACTATTCATATATTTTTAAAGCCTTTTTATATTATTTTTGTTTAAGTTAATCAGTCAAGAAGTAAATAGTTTAATTTAAGACACGAAATTAAATATATAAAAAAAGTGCATACATTTTTAGAAACTACTGGACAACTTTCTCGAAAAATTACTTTTTAAAGGATAGAAAATTCCCATCATTATTAAACATCATAGAAAACACATTATTATGACTTCATTTATTAAGACGTCTATATAAATAAAATAAAGATTTTGTCTGTACATTGAATAGAATCAATCCGTTTTATGATATCTTTCCGTTTCATACATTGCAGTTACCAAATCCACTTTTAAAAATTTTTTGTCTGTCTGTATGTCCGCATTGCAACGAAATTTTGTCAGGGGTAAGAAGCTCAGAAATGGCTTATTGTAGACTTTTCAAATTTTGACATTATATTAAGGTTTACTGGACTTAAAACATAGGCTTTAAATGAAAACAAAATATTGAGTATAACCAAAGTTATGCATTCTTGAGTAATTTGTCTAGAGATCTCGGTTAATGTTGATAATAAACGTATGTTTATAGGTTAAAGAACATCTATATAAATAAAATAAAGGTTTTGTCTGTATATTGAATAGAATCAACCCGTTTCATGATCTCTTTCCGTTTTATACATTACAGACACCAAATCCACTTTTAAAACATTTTTTGTCTGTCTGTCCGCATTGCAACGAAAGTTTGTCAGGGGTAAGATCAGCAATGGCTTATTGTAGACTTTTCAAATTTTGACATTATATTAAGGTTTACTGGACTTAAAACATAGGCTTTAAATGAAAACAAAATATTGAGTATAACCAAAGTTATGAATTCTTGAGTAATTTGTCTAGAGGTCCCGGTTAGGCAGTTACTTCGATTCTCATCCCAACCTACTCTACCGCGAGCCATATTTAACAGTTGTACTATTCAACTAATGGAAAAAATTATCACAACTCAGCGGGAAATATCCGAAATACCAAACATCTGTAACGCGTTGTCGCTTAAAACACACTCATTTTTCAACTTTGTCCCATCTTCCTGTTCAAGGTGTCATTCTATTCAATTTCCTGAGCCTAACAAATGTCGTATACATTTTTAGGATTAACCTAACGGAAATCGGAAGAAAATCTTCTAAAAATTAAATTTACCTCTCTCCCCTCACCCAATGTTATGAAATTAACCCTTCCCACTAGCGGATCCAGGATTTAATTTTGGGGGAGGGCTTCAGCCCGAAAGATTTTTTTTCGTCATATGCATATAACGATAATTCATTTGAAAAAAAAATAAACAAATTAACTACCTATATGACATGGTGTTTAAGTGGTTCATGAAGTCTTATTAAATGTAATTACAGGAACAAGAATATTTTAAGAGATACTTTTTAATATTTTTTTCTGTAAAACATGGTTATATTTTACCATTTGGGGGGGGGGGCGGGGGCTTCAGCCGGAAAGCCCTCCACCCTCCGTAGATCCGCCCGTGACCCCTCCCCCATAATATAACATCCATCTCAAAAAAATATTCTCAAATTCTAACTACACACCCGTCAACGATGGTTACATCAGCTAGTATAATTTAAATCAATATATTTTTTATTATTAAATTTTTATTTTCCTTATTTAGAACTATTTAAATGAAGTAGGTAAAATTGTAGTTTTATGAAGGAAATAATGGATATACTTTCTTATATTTTAATTTATACTGGAGGGGAGTGGGATAGCTCAGTGGTACGTACTTAGCTTCCAATGCTTTTAAGGTCCCAGGTTCGAACCCCGGCCCATGGCAGAATGATTACTTATTCTGTTTCATTGGCCGTGGGGCGACCCTGGGTAGGGTAGACCTTCCTGGGGCACACCCAGCCTCTATAAAGTGGGTACCCTTAATTAAAAATAATTAATTAAGGGATAAAAACAGGCGGTTGAACATGATTTTTTTTTTTTAACTTCTTGGGAGAAGTATAGGATATTATTTTACATAAAAAAAATTCATACTTGTAGCCATTTATGTTTAACTAAAGTTTCAAATGGTTTATAATAAGATATTTTGTGTATACTGTAATCAGGCTTTCAAGAATATTTTGCCAAAGTTTAGTATCATTATTTCAAAGACATTGCACTCTAAACATAAAAGTACACAAATGGACCAAAATCATTGTCTTAAAGGAGCGAAGAATAGTTGGGGTGATCAGTGAAATAAGAAGGCAAAAATAAATGATAATATTTATTTTGACATTTCGACCTGAAGTTCAGGCCTTGATCAGGGCTAAGAAAAGAACCAGATAACAAGGTATGAGAAACATGAATAATGTAAGTAAAAAAATTAAAGTAAAATTCAGTTGTTAGAATAATGACAATAGTAAGAACTAAGAGATAATACTACTTAGTATTGTCATTATTCTAACTTCATTTTTCTTTAATTTTTTTACCTACACTACTTATGTTTCTAATACCTTGTTATCTGGTTCTTTTCTTAGCCCTCATGATGGCCTGAACTTCAGGTCGAAACGTCGGCTAATGTAAAAATAAATATTATCATTTATTTTTGCCTTCTTATTTGACTGATCATCCCAACTATTCTTCTCTTCATTATTCACGACAGTCAACTATTTAACCACTATTCTTTCATTGTCTTAAAGTGTATAAACTTTAACATTGAAAATCAGCTGTTCCTAATCAATAGATTATTATTCAATACATACCTTTATAAAACTTCCTCAGTAGTGTTGAATATTTCAAAACTTCAGTTTTTAAGTAGCACCATTTTTACTTTTAGAAAGGTTTACATATTTTAGTTCTATATTTATTAAAGTAAAACATATTAATGCTGTCATAATTGAGAGGAGTCACACAGTAATGTCACCAAAGATGGCTGATATCCAAGGCACTTTGCTAAATGATACTAATTCCATTGGAATAATCACCTTACTTGAAAGAAAGTCTATAATTTTCAAATGGCATGCTACAAATTTCTGTGAAGCAATTTTAAGTAAAAACAGTTTTCATTCCTACCTTAGTCAAAAATAACCCATATTAGTGTTTTACACTGTACTATTATAATTAACAGATTAAATATTTTTAAAAAGTTAATAATAATAATGATTTTTAAGTTTAAGAAACCACTAATAATTTCAACTTAAATATTTGCAAGACATGCATAAAGTGATTATTTTATCATGATTGGAGCTTATTATTCAGAACACTTAATAAGTATGGTATTCTAAATTACTTGAATTAGTTATTTTTTTCGAACATTCTTTTTTACTTTCATTATTGAAGAGATGAAAATTGACTAAAATAAAAATGGCATTATTAACTCATCAATTTACACTTATTAAATTTAAATATAATAAGCATTGAGTGAATGAGGTTTGAAAACAATCTGTTTATTAAGCTAAATATATTAGCTCGTTATAAAACTATTTATAAATATGTGAACAGGCTGCGGAAAGAAGAGGTCTGGAGGAGACTCTATGGCAACTTTGGTTGATCTCAATTCAGAACCTGCCGTCGAAGAACTCAGCAGGCAGATACTTTCCGAAGCTAAACTTTGGGAGGCCATTCAAGAAGCAAGGATGGAACTCAACAATAGAAAGCAACAAGTAAGTATATGATATTCAAATTTTAATTGAATTATTAATCACTATTAACTTTTATATAATTGAATTATTTTCAAATAAAACAGAAATTATATCATAGGAGAGTAGTTCAAACCTAGAAGTTAATTAAGAGAATAAAATTGTTAGAATTATAAAAAATCTGGTGTGTTCACTCACACGACTCCTACATATTTCAGAAAAGTTTTTATATCTTTACATATGTCCATGAAGAAACAAAAAAAAAAAAAAAATTGAACTAGATTTATTTTCCTGAAAATTGATCAAAGAAAAGATTTGAGTACGATTTATTTCATAAACTAAAGCAATACAAACCGGCTTAAGGTAGATCAGTGTAAAAATTTTAATACTCTCTGATATTGCTGATCAAAAACTTTTTGCCATAGCTTAGTATAGTCTATCCATAATTTCTGTTAAAAGTAGAGGAAATAGTGAAGCTTGTGTGATGCGGGCAACAGATTTTCTTACTTTCACTTAGTCATCTTTATTCTCTCATTCACCCCTTTCTGACACCAGGATATGAACCCGTAATCTTACATTGGAAATTGAATAGCTGTAACTTCGTTGTCCAAAATGAACGATTTTTATACAGTTTTGTAGAGAATTTCATTAACTTTAAAAAAAAACAGGATAAAATGTGTTTTTTGAACTCAGAGGGCTCTAAAACGTGTAGAACATAATAGGAAAGTTTCATCGAAATCGTTAGAGCCGTTTTTGCGCTACAGTCTACAGAAAAACATGTTTTTCATTTAGTGCGCGCAGGCTATTGCGTATGGAGCACCGATTTCTGTCACAGGCATCAGTAGTCAAAACCCTACAAAATAAAAAATAAAGCAATGAAATCGCTTCAGTAGTTCCCGAGAAAATTTTGGCAGACAGGCAGACAGAACAATGGCTAAAAATGTGTTTTTCGGACTCAGGGGGCTCTGAAACGTATAGATCCTTCAAAAACTGCATATCGGAAATTTGACCCGATTACAATACTTTCCTTACCTAGTATAGGTAGGAAAGTAAAAATAAAAATTTACTGATCTGATTTATAAGAAAAATTGTAAAAATTTTATCAACTGCTTAAAAATTGGCCTCATTCTGAGTGAAGTCCTATAAGTTTCTTCCAATATCTATAAATTAAAAACAGCGGCCTAATCAAATTCAACAAAAGTTTTTAGATATTACCATAATTCACCTGCGTAGAATTAATCAGATTTTAGTTGTAAATAGTAAATTCACAAAAATATTCTACAGCGCTTTAGCTGTTCTATATTCTTATAGAAACTCCCTTAAATGAAATACTTCTAATTATATTCGTAACAGCTATGAAAATAGGTTATCGTTGAAAATGTACACAATATTTCTTATTTCTCCCAGTCAGGCAGTATATTTTAATATAAATCAATACACAATCAATGTAAATATATAATATATTTTATAACATTTATTCATTTCAGTGTCCGATTTGAATATACGTGATTTCTATTTGGTCAGTCATTTTAGTTGTTGATGTGTGATTTGATCTCAAATTTATATTTATGAACCATTTGATTCATAAGCCTGATGAGATCTCAAATTTTGATAGAGAGAATGAAGATTTTGTTTTGGATTTTCCAATACCATGCTAATAAATTCCATCTCATTTTTAAATTTTAATTTTAATTTATATTTTAACTTATATCCTAGTATTCAACTAATAGTAAGGATAGGGTACCACCAATCAACGGTAGTCATAGTTTTGAAAAACAAGCGAACAATTTGACCTCTTAATGGTACGATTGTTTTTAGAATATCGTTTCATAAGATCTTGCAGTAGTATTCTGGTAAATAAAATAAAATTTTTGCTGGCTGACGAAATTTCTATGACCATGACTGTATGTAAATTATAAATTGGAAAAATTTATAAGATCCACCCGACAAATTTAGGCGACAGTATTTAGTGACAATATAAGTCAGCTAGTCTTCGTAAATGTTCTCATTCATTATTTATAACTATCTAACATTAACCTCTAAACTGTAAATATAATCGTAAGATCAATTAATAAATAAGTTCTTCCGGCTTGTTTTTCAGGAAGAACAGATGCATCCGATGCCTTTGCCACTGACAGGAGTTCACAAGAGGTCTCAATACTTATACACATGAGAGATGTATTAAAACTGTTGTAATTAATATTTACATAGTAAATATATTATTTTAATATACTAGTTTTTTTTAACCACACTCTTTACCTTCACCATACAAAGTGATCATAATTGAAAGTTATAAATCTATACCTATCTCAGTGCAAGTTACATAAAATAAAACAAATACAACAAAATTAAACAATATAAATTGTCTTAAAGTAAATATTGTATTTACATTTATTCTGACAATATCCATAACATTATGTACATATTGCACATTTTAAACCACCGAAAACAAATTAAATCACAATTAATATTCTAAGGGCAAGCATATGAGTCAAGGGTTAAGTCTTGGATTTATTCCCGAACTTATTCGGAAACTATTTATTACTATTTTAATTATATTACTTATTCTATTAATTATAAAAGTTAATTATATCCATGAAAGCATGATATAATAGAACTTAAAACTAACCAATGACTCAACAGCCAGCACTAACAAATCAAAAAATATTTCTAAAAAAAAAAAGAAATAAACATAAAAATATTTTTAACAAGTCTACTGACTTATAAAAATTTTCTTCCAGTTTTAATGCTAGCGATTTCCATTACAAAAACAAGAACATTACTTTCAACTGTTTGTTACTATTTTTTTTTTTAATTATAATACATATCTTTTTTTTAAACATAAACTTGATCTCTATCTCAATTCCATTATAGAAAATCTATTAAACTTGGAAGTAAAATTTTTATTGACCTGCAATAAATAGAGATATAAAAAAATAAACAATTAAGATCATGGATCCTTAACCATCCAGATAACGGAATTATTTTGAGTGTCTGTGTTTAAAAATCTTAAAATGGATGAATTAATATAAAGGTTATATGTAAAATATCACTTACAATATTATTTATATATATATATATATATATATATATATATATATATATATATATAAAAATGATCTTGATATATTTTTAGTTCACCTATTTAATTTTAGTACAATTGCCTTTAATAGACACTGTGTCAACCGTAAACTACTTGTACAGATTTTGAAAAAATAAAAAAATGCATATACAGGGTATTTCAGTTCTTAATGACCAAACTCTGGGGGACAATTCTAGACAAAATTTCCAACAAAAAAAATTCATTTGATGGGGCGATTCCAACTGGAAAGGAGTTGAGACTAATTCTTTAATTTTTCTTAAGGTAGTCACATTTTTTATTGAATAAGAAGAAATTGTGCAAAAATTATTCAAATCATTATAGTCCATGGTACAGACCCCTCTTTATCAAATTATTAACATCCGTCTGAAACTTTGTAAATAGCATTATCTCATCGTAACTTACAACTGTTTTATTTAAGAAAATTTTAGGGCATTTGGGAGTTTTCAAACCTGGGGATCAGTAAACTTTGTCTATTTAATTAGGTACTAAGAACTCGTAAATACCCATTTGCTTTCCACTTCAATTGTAATTTGAGCAAAAAATCGAGAAAAATATTGAGTACTTTGGCATGGTCTACACCCCCAAAATGTCAAAATAACGAGGGTATATGAGCTAAGCAAGCGGCCTAATATTTTGGTAGGCCACATTTTTTCTCGATTTTGTGACCAAATTATCTTACAATCCAAGTGGAAAGCAAACGGTTATTTACAAGTGTTTAGTACCTAATTAAATAGACAAAGTTTGCTCCAGATCGAAAATGCTCTAATTCCAAGAGTTTTCATAAATAAAATAGTTGTTACGATCAGATGAAGCTTTTCATGAAGTTTCAGGCGGATGTTAATAATTTGATAAAAGGAGTCTGTATTTTGAACTATTACGTCCTCAGCACACTGTCGTAAAGTAGATAATATTTTCTTGAAAGAACAGTGATTTACTATGGCCAATGATAAAAGGGACTTTCAGGAGGTCTGATACAGTCGCTATATGGGATATGCTGCTCCCGTATGGATGCAGTAAATGCAGTACAGCGTCCTTATTAGAACTCCTGAAAGCCCCTTTTATCATTGACCTTACTAAATTTAATCACTTTTTTCTCAAAAACATGTCTACTTTAGGATGATGCAGTTCCAACCTTACTTGTTAGAAATTTAAAAAAATACAAAACATATTAAAATAATTAATTTCGTCAATATTAAGTTCATTTTGTAGGAAATTTCGTCTTGAATCACCCCCCAGAGCCTCTCTCTCTCTCTATATATATATATATATATATATATATATATATATATAATGTGTGTGTGTATACATAAAATGATATAGAAAAAGGGTCTTATATTTAAATTATAGTGTTGAAGGAGTCCACAAAACAAATAAGGTTAAGAATCCTAGATCTAGGTAAATTTAAAACAATGTATTAAAATAAAATAATATAAATTGAGGAAAAAATAAAATAAACAACAGATTATCAAATCAATTATCATTGTATTATTTAATAATTTAGCTATACACCCTCTGTAATTCGGCCCTTCAAAATACAAATAAAATTGACAATTTTTTTTTTCACTCAATGTACACTATAAATAATTTATTGCACTATAGTTTGGTTTGTTTTCAAAATATTAAGTATGGACTATAAAGTTTTAAAAGTATTTCTATCATTAACCTTCCGTAACATGACATATCCTTTAATTAGGATATATTGAAATGGTACTTTTGTACTACCGAATGTACTTTACTTCAGATCGTTTTCAGATTTTGTTATATTTTTCGTATCAGTTTGTCATTGAAAACTATCAAAAAAAGAAATAAAAAAAAATTAACTTTTATGAAAGACTATTCACAAAACAGTGAAAACATTATTTACTAAATATATTCTAATATTACTAGAACCATTATTTTGCCTTAAATTAATTTGAACTACAAATATAACTCAGTCACCAAATGTTCTAATAGTTTGAAATATAGCTTAATTAAATTGAAAAAAAAAATACCTGGGATTGATCGAACTCAGCTTTTTTTCTTGTTGCCATAAAAAAAAAATATTAATGAGAGAGGATGCATGATTAATTTTTTTTTACGGTGATATTAAAACTACTAGCTTCAAAATTCATGAAGATTTATTAGAAAAAATGAAAAGAAAAATCTTCAACAAATATAAATATAAATAAATAACTATATATATTAAAAATATAACTGATAAAGATTCCCAGAATATTAATAGTCTAAAAACTGGTATAAACCCAACTATGATTTACTAAATTTTTCGGAGACTTATAAAGGAGAAATCTCTCTTGAATAGACAACAATCAAAATTAGTCGTGTGATGTTAACATTAAAAAGCTCATCACATGACATAATTAACTCCAAATCCACTGTCATAACAATTTATCTTGCTTTATTTTTTTTTTCTTTGTAAATTTCAAAAAATAAAAATTTAATTCCAACTGTTTTCATTAAAAAATGTCTTGGTACAATTTTTATTTTTATTTTTAATACAAAGTTTATTAAAAATGACTTGAGCTCTTTATATAATTGAAATAATAGATTGTAACAATTTTAAATGATACAAAATAAATAATCTTTAAAAAAAAAATATATAATAATAATGTTATGATGATGTGATGAAAATAAATATTGTCTTTCAACTTCAATTCTTCTTTAAATATAATTCTATTGTAGTCAGGCAATATATAATTATTAACACAGCACTTTGAATGTGTCACTGAAATCAAATTATCGGAGTTTGTTGCTAGCAGTGCAAAGATTTCTACTATGACTTAACGGATTTCTTCCCTCGTATGACAACTGGTCTGTTCTTGATTAATCCCTTCTTCCTCCTAGATGTCTAAACATAAATAATATTTTTCTATTATTGCATATTCATTATTTATAAAGAAAAAAAATAAATAAAAACACAATCCATAAAAGGGTCTTGGATTCAGAACTCTGTCGCATCTAACCACCGAGATATTCCTCAATCAAAAGTACTCATTTTATATAGGATGGATGTGCCCCAGGATTGTCTTTCAACCCCAGGACTGACGGTGCTTGCGGCTGTATTTAACAAACAAATCTTAAATAAGTTCCTCAACTTAAACATAAAAGATATAAAATACGTAGCACTGGTTGCAGCAATACCCTTTCGTCAAGGAGCAGCTGACATTGATAACAAGCTAAAACTTTATAATATTTCTTGAATAATTCACTTTTAACTTTTCTTTATACAAAGTTTAAAATATCAATTTAATCTTGACTTTCACTGTGTTAAAATCAGCAGTACAATGGATACATAGGATTAAGATTTTGGAGTCTCTGTTTGGACTCTAAATATAAAGATATCATCCATCAGACTATTTAGATTTAATAACTTGGTTAATGCATATTGAAAAGAAAATGGCCAAGGGACCTACTTCGACATTAATAACAAGGAAAAACAAATAAAGCAAATTCGCAGCTAATGGCTAATACATCAGATTCACTTGATACGCTGCAGCACAGGTGCAATGTTCATAAAATTTTAAAATTAAATTAAAATAACAGCAACTTAAGATCATAATTTATTGATTGTTGCTATCTATGAGTTACAATTTACATTATTATTATTAAAATAGGATCCTTACCGAAGGCCTTGTACACATGATTATAGATATAGTTGGGATTTGACGATTTAACATAACCTTACCACTGGCGAAAGCTTTTCTAGATAATTCACTAACACTAGAATGACAAACGAAACTAACTTACTTTCAATTCGAGCTCATTACACGAACTACATATTGAACTTTAAATTGAAGTAAAATATTTTAATTTTCTTTATTTACATCCCCATTTAGCCTTTTGGTAATACGGGATCCAGCAGCAGTTGAACTAAGCTAAAATGCGCAAAACCACTGTTCCAATTTTCTTTGTTTCATCCATGATTTTCAATTTTCTTAAATCCTTCTAATACATTTCCTCTAGGTCCAGTGGTCTATCTGGTAAAGAGCCTCACCTTCTTCTTCGGAATCCGTGGTTAAAGTTGGCCGGCCCCATTGCCATTTTCCATCCTAAATAAATTGTTTCAACCACAGAAAACTTTCTTTTTTTACTAACAGAGGAAGTTCACTTACATTGAGGACATCGATTCCACTCTCATCATAGAATTTTATTTTATATTCTTTTATTTCTAGATGCAAATTTAAAAAAAAAAAATAAACAAAATGAATCAATTAATACTATACCCCAAGAGTCGAGAATAAGAAAAACTAAATATAAGCCTACAGCCAAGAGAATACTACATGATTTGTCAATGGATTCGAGTATATACCAAGTCGTGAGGGCGCATTGTGAACAAAAAGAAAAATAATTGTTTGGTAACCAACACTTTTATATTTTATTTAGTAATTTTTCATTGTATTTCAGGAAATAAATAATAAAAAATTCCTTGATTTTCTGAATAATAACATAAAAATCCCTGACTATTCCCCAACTTTTCCGTAATAATGAAACGACTTTTCTAGTTTTACCTGTCAGTAGACACCCTGTATGCATAGAATATTGAAAAACCAGTAAACCGGAGGGTGAAAACATGTTTAAAATTTCTGTTGTTCCTGAAAACATAATATTAAAGTTGATAAAATTAATTATAGTTCATTAAAATATTTAAATTCTGTTTTCTAAAATTACTATAAATTCTTAAATAAATTTAAACCGTTATAAATTGAAATATTTATTTACAAACTGAAATGTACAGAAAAAAATAATTCTAGGCATATTGGACGGAATCACAGAATCGTTTCCATGACAAACGTTGATGTTATCGTTTTGTCTGTAAGTTGCTCAATAAAGCACGGGATGCCTTCTCTTCGACTTAACCCAAGCCTAGTAATAATACAAAAAAGAGAAGGGTATATGAATAATATGTTAATAACCAAAATATGAATTATTAAAATCCATTACCTTCTTGGAAATAAATGTATCTGTTCTCTTGATTTTTCTTAAAGACACTGGAATACGTGGACGATTGAATTCATTTTCATTCTTTACTCTGAAAATTGATAAAAATCATATTTACTTTTATAAAACAATTAATTCATTAATTAATAATAAACAAATTTATTACAAAATATTGCCCCTCCCTTAGTGAACAAAAGAGCTTACCTATAAATTCTGACCAACCAGTGTTCAGTAGTGTATGCTTCTTCAAGATACGTTAAATCAAAATTTTTATTACCAATCACAACATTTCTAGTTCTGTCAAAACCAGGAGGACTTCGGAAATCAAGCTGAAAATGTCAAATAGGCAATCTCAATCGTTGATATTTATTTAGTTTATTAATTAAACAATTGTTTATATCATATATTAAATAGAAAATTTAATGAATTTCGAGTAATACTTAATGAAATATTACCTAGTTCTGCCATAAATACTGTTATAAAAGTTGAACTTGGTTTACATCCATGGGTATTATTTAGATAATTCTTACCTCTATCAGGTTATTTTCTTTACATGTCAGCATAATAATCCCAATTAGTTTGTATTTTTCTTTGGCTCAGTTAACATGGTGTGGGGTGATAAAGATAACCGAATAGCTGCGACCACCTTACACGAAGTTGGAAAATGAAGGTCAGAGATTTTCAACACTTCGAAACCTTTGGGTATCAGCCGTACGTTCGGGAACCGCACTATAGATATAATGAGATCTTATCTGTATGCGACAGACAGGGCTGTCCCCGCACTGTGAGAATGGGAAATGCAGTGAGAGCAATGGCTGCTCGAATCAGAAGAAATAGCATTCGAAAACAACAAATCATGTCTCGGGAAATGGGAATCTGTCAGATCAATGTCTTGCATAATAAAAAGTGACCTTAGGATGGCTGCATTTCAAAGAATGACAGGACAAAGGCTAACCACTTCCCAAAAAAAAATAGTGTGGATAGATGCAAAGCGCTTCTTGGCCGTTACACCAATGGTCTTCATCAAAAGATTTTGTTTAGCAATGAGAACATTTTTACAATTGAAGAAAAATTTAAATGCCATAATGACTGTGTGTACAGCTAAAGAAACCCAGGAAGTCATTGGTAGATTGGAAAGAGGTCATCACCCTTCCTCAGTGATGGTTTGATGGGGAGTTTGCTTTTATGGGACCAGAAAGATCCATTTATGTGAAAATGGAGTTAAAACAGCCGCTAAAAACTATCACAAGGATATTTTAGAACCTGTTGTCAAGCCTCTAAATGATACTCAGTTCGCTGGAAGTCATTGGGTTTTGCAGTAGGATTCCGCTCCAGCTCACAAGGCCAGGTCAACTCAGCAGTGGATGCAAAAGAACATTCCTGAGTTCATCTCTGCCTCGGATTGGCCCTCAGGAAGCCCTGATCTCAACCCACTAGATTATTGGCTTTGGTATTAGATTATTAGCATGCCATAGAGCACACCCTAACTTGGAAAGCCTCAAACAATCTCTAGTCCGAGCAGTTGAGTGCTTTCCTCAAGAAGTGATACGTACTTCTATTGGTGACAGGCCACGGAGATTAAATGCCTGTGTCAAGACAAAAGAGGGACATTTTGAGTAATTTCTTTTTTGTTGTACTCTCTGTAGATATACATTTTATTTTCTAATAAAGTTTAAAAAAAAATTAATTGTTCCGTTGAAATCTGTACGTATTTCCTTGTAACAATATTTATGAGAGGACTAGGTACAATCAAGATAATAAGTAAACAAGAAGACATAAATAAAATAAAAATTTAATTTTTCAATAATTAAGGAGATAAACATTTAATTTTATATAATGCAATACAATAGCACAAAACCATGACAAAAAAAAAATATTTTATATAACAAAACCTTACCTGAAGTTCTCCGAAACGGTAATAGCTCAATTTGTACATCAAACAATTCAATAGTGTAGGTGATCCTTCCGCATCAACTCTGAATTCACCTCTATCAGTAAAATAATCACTTTCCTGACAAGAAAAAAATATGAAAAGTTAGGCGGTTTGATCGGAACTATTTCAAATAATTTAAAAATCATTTTAATGATCATACCCTGATATCCTTCGGGTGTTCTCCTTCAGCGATTCTCACCATCCATAAGAACTTGTTGATGTCATCGCCAGAATAACCGATAACACCACCAAAAATGACAAGAACATAATCAACATCAAGTGATTTCATAATTTTGTAAGCATCGGGTTCAGTAGAAGACATAGCTTTGCCAACCTGAAACAAATATATTTAATTATAAGGCAATTTCTTACACTTTTAAGTTGATTCCGAGTGAATAATAAATTTAGTTATTATTTTTATAAATATTTAATTTAGAATACAATCCTTCCTCGAGGCCTTGTAGACAAATTACAATAACCACCTGATCACCTCACGATATACATAAAATAAATTAACATTTTTACTATGACACTTGTCGGAGAAGTGTAAAGAGCTAAGTAAATAAGGTACTATGGGCTGATATGCTCTAGGTGTTAAATTCAAACCAAGCTGTGGTAGGCTATTCTGTTACACCAGCCAAGGATCGACCCTCCTGAGGCACGCCCAGCCTACGTACGGTGAGTACACTTAATTAAATAATAATCTAAGAGGGAAAACTTGGCAGTTCTCTCCGTGCAGGAAGAATATCATACCTCCACAAAAAAACATTCTTCATAAAGAACTTCAAACAACGGATTGAATATAAACTAAACGCAGACTGAACTACATACTGAGTATGAACTCTCTCTCGTCTCATCCATCTCACATCTTTTTATACTACTTTTTTTGGGAGGAAGGGCAACAAATTATTAAAAATTCATTTTTGACAAAAATTCCAGACTATTCTCTGATATAATCAGTAAGATTCATTTTAGTATTCACTTCCACTTTTTAGCCAGACTAAAATGGTTTAAAATTATCTTCATATAGTTTATTCAATATAATTATTCGTAATGGCAATGCTTCTGAAATAAATATCATTACAGCCCTGGAGCCAGGGCCCAAAAATCAACATGATTGCAGGCGAAAGTTTGAATGTAAATTACGAAAGTGTGTATTATTTTAAGTAAAATGAACCTTGTCTGCCGTTCCAGAGCCTCTGCTTCAAAAAATAGCGGCTGACTTAAAAAATATTACGCCAGTAACTTGAGAATCGAAACAGTAAATTCTTTTCGAAAAATGTGGGAATTTTTTTTTTTTTTTACCTTGTGTATAGGGATTTAAACATGTGAAAACCAAAACTCCTAATGCGGAGAAAAGTTTTTATAGCCAAAAAAGCCAGATATTTTCGATTCTTTTTTCACCTATAACTTCTAAACAATACATCGAACCAAAAAATGTTCTCTTTAAAAAATTAACATTAAATTTTGGTAGGGTCAACTAACCCTGATTTTTTACCAAATTTGTTAAAAACCGAGACAAATTACTATAAATAGTTCTGTAGCCTGGAAATGAGTTTCCTGAGAAGAAAAACTCACAGAATCAAAGTTGTAGAGCACCAAATTTTGCGTCCACTGAGTGTTAATAATTTTCATGTAGTTAATTATATATCTCGAATCGGGATTCGTTATTTCTTCATGAAATTCGGTTTCTTTCGACACATCATTATATTATATATTATATGCTCAAAATTCTTTGCTGCAGAAAGGTGGAAAAGAGGCTTATACTACAAGTAACAGACTTTAAGCAAGAACAACTCAGTAGAGTAGACATCTGTGTTGTTGAAATATTGAAAATCACACATATCTTCATTACCAATTTTTAGCCATCGAGAGATTACCGATTAAGTTTGGTGTAAATACCCTACATTATAACTATTGGTACTCAGTGGACGCAAAATTTGATGTTCTATAATTTTGATTCTATAGGTTTTTTCCTCTTAGAGAACGCATTTCCAAGTTACTGAGCCATGTATAATAATTTGTCTCAGTTTTTGAAAATTTTTCTAAAAATCAGTGTTGGTTGACCTTGTTTTCTTCCTTACCCTTACACTAAATTATTAAGTTTAGGTATTCGTTCGATCTACAATGTAACTTTGTTTAATTTTTGAAAGAGTACATTTTTCTCTTCAATGCATCGTTTAGAAGTTATAGGTGAAAAAACAAAAAATAATCGAAAAAAAAATCTCTCTTTTTTGGTTTAAAATGTTTAAACCCATATACACAAGTTAAAAAAATAAAAGCTTCTCCCATATTTTTCAAAATGAATTTACCGTTTCGATCTTCAAGTTACTGGCCTAATATTCTTTAAATCAGCCGCCATTTTTGAAAGCAGCAGCTCTGGAATGGCAGACAAGGATCATTTTACTTAGAATAACATAAACTTTCGTAATTTATATTCAAACCTTCGCCTGCAATCAGGTCGATTTTTGAGTAATAATACTATTTCCTCAGTATTATTCATAGAGGAATTTGTTGCGCAATAAGGTAATTTTTTTTTCTACTCTTTCAGTGTATTAATATTTTTCAAATGATTTAATGCATTAAAAAAAATCAAATGATTAAACTGCCAGCTACTCACCAATGCAATGTGACTGTTGTTCCATGTATTGTTATCCACGAGGGTTGTCCGATTAGCCATTCCAGCTATTTGGTAACCATAATCCCACCAACTCATAACTCTTGCGTCGTTATCAGTGTTCTGGGAAAGCCAATAATATGCTTCTCGGAAGTCATCCAAGATTTGTCGAGATCTGTAAAAAAAAAAAAAATCTCAATTATACTGTAATCTCAGTAATCTTAACTAATTGTAGCAAAGAAGTGTTGGGACTAGAGAGGAAGATTAAAACAATAAATTGAAAGAAATTTATAAACTGGGTACATGTTAAGGGGCCAGGGTGGACGAATGGGCTAAACACGCTTTGCTCAGCAACCTTATTAAGTAAATAATATGAAAAAATAATTAAAAGTTCGTCTTCCGGTGCTGGTGGGGCTTTTAAGAGCTAAAACAGGCTCATAGGAGCACCAGTAATCCCCCGTCCTCTCCTTTGGGCTAGGAAGAATCCCACTCATAGCCTAAAAGGCGAGGAAGAGGTAAACAAAAAAAAAAAAATCTGAGTACATATGTACATCGGCAGCATGTTAAAGCAACAAATATGAAAAATCACATTTTTCAATTTCATTCATTTACCATAATACTCTATCTTCTACCATCTTGTGGTAAAATGTCAAACCAGAAGCAATAACGTCATTTTTACAAATGGCTTTGTTAGATGTGTATTTATGTTGTAGTAACATTAATCATAATCAAAAGTTAATATTGAGCAAGGATTCACATTCCTTACTCTAACATGGTGCCGACGATATTTATCTATTAACTTGAAAACATTGAGTTTATATGAACGAAAAAAAAATGTATTTATTCCTTAAAAAACTCAGTTATTTTTGTTTAAGGTCTATCTTCAATGCATATCCTAGGAGGATTTTTTGGCAGGATATATTATCCCCTCTTTCACATCGAATAAAGATATTGAAATGAGATACCACATCTTCATGCTTTAGTGCTGCTCTGTTTTTGTTTTTAAAGAATGAGATATTTTTAACTATTAATCTCAATAAGGTTACTAAATATCACTGCAACTTAAAATCTAAAAAATGCGCCAAGACATGAAGACGCCTTTTTTTAGAAATTTGTTTTAGGCCACAATTTTTCTTCACTGAACAAAACTTTCCATCCACTACTCTTCCTTAATGGCCGATGTGAAAAATTCAAATACACCCCATCTTCAAGGAATTTAAGACTGCTTTACATCTAAACTAAGCACAGTTTGGATTGAGCTGAACTTTTATGTATATATTTGAAAAATTTTATCATTTTTACCAATGCAAAAACAAATTAAGTGTATCAAAATTAATCCTACTAAATTTCAAAAATGGACACACTCAAGTACACATTGTTTTGATTTGAGCCTTTCAGTGACAGAATGACTAATTCTAATTTCATAATTTTTGGTTATTAATTTTAGTTGAAAAATTTATATCTTAATTCAAAGTTTGTATTTCAAGAACCCAATCATCTACTTTGGAATCAACTCACTCACTGGCTGTACAAATGTTATAAATTTTCAAACTAGAAATATCACTGCAATGACTTTACACAAAAAATGTTGAAATTGGAGTTGTCAATCCAAAGAAATGAAAATCAAAATGTACAATAATAGAAAAATTCATCAAATTACTCAGCAATTTAATTTCACAAAATATAACAAACAATGTAATTATTAAAAACCTATTTTATGGTTGTATATACATTTATTTAAAATATTAATGGTGATTGATATTGTTTGATGACCAGTAACTTATTTAAGACTTAACAATAAAAAAAAATTAGCAGCATTATTCCAAGGTTTTGGAATAATCTATAATATATCTATAATAAAATTCCAAATCAACTATTATTCTCTTTCTGAGAATAATTTAAGAGATCTCCAAAAAAACAATTAAAAATTTCAGTAGCCATTTTTCAGTGATTGGGAAGGAGGAAGTTTTAATTATTTAAATTAATTATTATTATTTATTATAAATATACTACCAAGTTAAAAAAGGAGAAACAATTTACCCGTCTTGCGCATAAGATGCTAACACGATGCTAGGACTAGAATAAGCGTTGCTTGTAACCCAAGTACAATGGACCGCAAACATCAGCAATGTAGCGAGTATACCAACAATAACAAAACTTCGTACATTAGATCCGAGTCCTTCGTTATCCTTGCTTTGATCAGTGTGTTTGTTTTTGCGTAACCTTGTTGGCTATAATAAAAATAATAATAAAATTATAAACAGATTATATGGTATAATAATGTATGATTAAGAGTAAAGAAGATTACTGAAGGAAGATATTAGACTGTTCTACATATCATAGGTGATAAATATTCAGGACGCAGCCATTTTAAGGTTTTTTTTTATTAGTGGCGACGTTAACTTACTTGAATACCTTCAGGGCAAGAAACACAGCCCTGATGATGACCCACACGTTTGGGTTGAAACGTCGGCACTAATAAAAAAGCCTTAAAAATGACTGCATCCTGACTATATATCACCTATAAAGAAGATTACATTATATAATTTATGTATTCAACCCTCTATTATATAAATGATTTCAAGTGAACCATTAAAACTTTGGTTCTATCATATCCCATTTGGATTTTTACTACATCCCAATTTAGAAAAATATACTAAAATGTGAAGATAAAAAACAATTCAAATTTTGCTTAAATTTTATTAATTACCCTTGTTTTAATTCAATATAACGACCAGTGCCATTATTTACAGTCACGGGTGGATGAATATAACAACCCACGTCGTTTATAACGATGAAGTTTATCCTTTCAAGGTCATTATAAACGATATCCATTGTATATTTATTTCCAATTTGAAAAAAAAAAATTTACGTACTAAAAAAATTCCCTGACTTTAACAATTTTTCCCTTACTTCTCCCTGGCATTTCCTTATTTAGAAAATCCCCTGACTTTTCACTTTTTTCCAGGTTTTCCAGGTCGGTTGCCATCATGTAAATCGAATGTAACAATAAAATTACTTACCCATAGTATATATAATTAAATGATTTTAATTAGGCATTAACAGAACTCATACCCTATGAGAAAAAATAATTATATTATTTTGTTAATTATATTATTTTACAGTACAAAATAAAAATATGAACAGGCATATTTATTACTTTCCTACCTATACTAGGTAAGGAAAGTATTGCAATCGGGTCAAATTTCCGACATGCGGTTTTCGACGGATCTATACGTTTCATAGTCCCCCGAGTCTCCTGAAGATGACTAAATGAAAGTAAGAAAATCTGTTGCCCACATCACACAATCTTCACTATTTCCTCTACTTTTAACAGAAATTATTGTTAGACAATACTAAACTATGGCAAAAAGTTTTTGATCAGCAATATTAGTGAATATTGAAATTTTTACACTGATCTACCTTAAGCCGGTTTCATTGCTTTAGTTTATCAAATAAATCGTACCCAAATCTTTTGTTTGATCAATTTTCAGGAAAATAAATTTAGTTCAATTCTTTTTTGTTTCTTCATGAACATATGTAAAGATATAAAAACTTTTCCGAAATAGGTAGGAAAGTCGTGTGAATGGACACACCAGATATTTTTTATATTTAAATTACATGTAATACGTATTTTGGTACCTAGCAGATTGAAAACCAATCTCTAAATTATACCATGCTAATCAAGAACTTATCGACGTATTACGCCTAGTCCTAACATACACAACTGGGACTAACCTTTTCGGGAAGAGTACGAGTCGGGGATGACTCTGGCTCACTGTCACTCTCAGGACCTGAAGGATTTTCATCATCTTTTAAAAATATTTCGAACAGCCTGGAGAATGCTATGCCGCTTAGCATACAAACGACAGGAGTCAGGGTCAGCATTAAGCGTACCATTACACCAGCAAAATAAACTGCGCTTATAGCGTACCACACAACTGAAAAAAAAAAAATTAACAAACATCTTCACTATACATAATATTATTCAATAGTAAGTATAGGTCCTTCTTCCGGTTCTCAGAAGTGAATTTCAATTTCAAAAGGTAAAGTGCTTAAAATATTTCGAACACTTAAAAACGATCATCAATTATGAACTGAGCTTTTTCAATAAAAACTTTTGAATTAACAGCTTTATCAAGCCAGTCCATTATTTACAAATAAGGTTAGATTAGTGTTCTAAAGAGAAAATACATTTCTGGGATTTATGCATTTGAAATAACGATAATTTTTTTTATACTGCCTATTACCATTTTGTAATCTGAACTGTTCCTTTAATTTTGAATTTCAACTGTCAGAAAAATATAAATTTCTAATATGAAAATAGTTATAATGGATTTAATATTTGTATTCGATAAAATGTATTCACATTATTTACATATTTCTAGGCTAATTAACAATTAGCGAAATGAACATTTTGCACTATGAGAATACAAGGGGCCAAACTCAAAATTTCTAACATCAACAATTTTAATCGTTGGTTATTTTGAATACAAAGAGCAGACAGAACTCAAACATCAGACCAAAATAATAAACAAAATATTTCACCAACCAATGAAAAAAAATTAGAGAAAACACTCTTTGCAGAACTTAACTTGTATCTAAAGTTCAATAAAAAAATTTTTGTTTTTAATTATGTCTCTTGTAATAATCACAATGTTATTTAAATTTTTTTAAAAATTAAGAAAAGTAAATAAATGATTTATTAAGTAAAACCTTTTTACAGCTAATTTTGTTAGTAAAATGTTAAAACCTTACCAAAAACTCGTTCGTCATTAATGTGTTTGATGCAGTACCACAATCCAACAGGAAATGTGGTAACTAATATATGAAGATCAAAGAAAAATGAAAACCAAGTAGTCGGTTGATGTTCAGAAACTGATGCAATTATAGGAATATGGATTTTGGCATAACCAGTGTCCCATAGGGAATAAAACCTGAAAAAAGTAATAATTATATAAATATAACATATATTAACGATAATAATATCAAAATTAAACCAACATTGAAAAATAAAAGTATTTCAAGGAAAGAAGCAGTTCTAAGTGAAACTCCTTGCTGAACACATCTCCCTGAAGAAGACCTGCAAAGTCGGGTCGAAATGTTGGCTTTTAATAAAATAGTTTTACTACTATTTAGCCTATTTATGACCTCCACCCCGGACCATCTCCTTCCTTAGTAATGCAATGGTCGACTATTAAGTATTAAATATTAAAAATGTATATATATAATGTATAATATTCACCTTTATTGGAAGTGGGTTAAAATTATTTAGTAAATTAATGTTTAACAATTAAAAGGCAAGCTAATCTAGTTCTACTAGTGCAGGGGAAAGAAAATGGCTGCTCTGTAGTTTCCCAAGAAGGAAAACCCCAAAGAGGAGAGGGACAAAGGTTTTTGTTTTGGCAAACAGTTGTTGTGTGGCTGCAGTGAAGAGAGGATAGGAGAAGTGATCCTGGCTCCAGGGGGAAAACCCCAGTAATAGTGTTACCATCTATGAATATAAGATAGTGTCACCATTCTGGAAGATGTGTTTGGCAGAACATAAGAAAATATTAGAAGACAAATGAATTTAGTGCAACAAAGGAAGAAGCAGTGTATATAGAAAAAAGGTTAGCTTGCCAATTCATATTTGACTTTATTTTAAAATGAAACAGTGTTTAGTATAGTTTTGTTATTCATAAGGGACCTCGTCCCAGAATAAAGTTTACTTTCTATCTATCTATCTAGAGTTAATATTAATTTGTCTGAGTTGATCTGATTGTCAGTAACCCACACCTGAGATAAATAAATATATTAATACTCTTATAATTTTGTTTACTATTTAATAACCTCTTATTTATTTAGGAAGTACCCCAATGGTAAGAAATGAGCTTCCAAGGTTATTATTTGTAAAATATAAGAGGGATGTTACAATAATTTATAAATAAATTTATTTATTATACATGAAAGACATGTTTAAACGGCATCCATTGTATATTTATTTCCAATTTGAAAAAAATATTTATGTACTGGAAAAATTCTCTGACTTTTCTTTCTGTTTTGAAAATTCCTTGACTTTTCCATTTTTCCAGGTCGGTTGCCACCTTATATTTTACATGTTAAGATTGTTCTTTTTTTATTATTATTAACAAAATGAAAAAATCTATGGAAAAACACTAATTGGTACCTGCCACTTGAATATTAACCTATTAAATATTGACCTCAAGTAATAAAAGGTTGGGGACTCCTGATCTTATGAGAAGATTATTGAATTTTAAATTAATAATATTATGATAATATGATAATGATGGTAAAACAAATTAATTGTGCTAATTCTAATTTATTATTACTTTCCTACCTATACTAGGCAAGGAAAGTATTGCAATCGGGTCAAATTTCCGACATGCAGTTTTTGACAGATCTATACGTTTCAGAGCACCTTGAGTCCGAAAAACAAATTTTTAGCCATTGGTCTCTCTATCTGTCTGTGCCAAGATTTTCTCGGTAACTACTGAACCGATTTTGTTGCTTCTTTTTTTATTTTGTAGGGTTTTGACTACTGATGCCTGTGATAGAAATTCGTTGCTCCATGCGCAATAGCTTGCGCGCAATAAAAGAAAAACATGTTTTTCTATAGACTGTAGCGCAAAAACGGTTCTAACGATTTTGATGAAACTTTCCTATAATGTTCTAATTATTGTCCTTTCAATTTTCGTATATAGACTAAGTTCCCGAAAAAATTCAGGAAAAAAAGTTATAAAGAAAAGAAAAATGTTATGGTGCCTAATTCCCTAAGTATATGTTATATGGTAAAATTTATAATAAAACTTTTAAAAGGTAATTAAATTTCCAACAAAAAAAAATCATCGGAATCGAACCAGTATTAGCGATGATACAGCTTATTCTATTTTTAACATATTACTTAATATTGATCTCAATTATTTAAAGGTTGGGGACTCTCTTACGAGAAGACAAGTTTATTGAATTTTAAATTAATAATATTTATATGATAATGATGGTAAAACAAGTTAATTGTGCTAATTCTAATACATTATTTCTAATATATTTTCTATTCTATATAACTATTTCATAATTAAAACTAATCGTGAAAGCAATATTACCTTCCACTCCAAGGAGCGATAAAGCCAGCATAAGTTAAGAGGACTACGCTTAAAAACACGACTGCGGCAGCGGTTATACTGGCAACAATAAAAAAATATTTAAATTCCGCTTTTGAAAGGACTGATTGAAGATGCTTAAGAGCTCCGACAGCAATCAGCAATGCGAAAACACCTAAAATCCAAACAAAAAAACAATAATGAGTACTGTAATTCTGAAAATAATGTAAAAATAAAATTTTTTTTTTTTCAAATCAAATGTACAATCTAATTACTCTACAGATATTAAATAAATAGAATGTATTATTTCATATTTATTTAGTGTTAACACAAATAGGATGTGGAGTAGCTCAGTGCTAAGGTGCTGACTTCCTATGCTCAAGGTTTCAGGTTCAAATCTGGCTGATGGTAGATAAATTATTTATTCTGTTTTGTCGGCTGGAGATCGACCCTGTAGTCGGGAGACTCTCCTGGGGCACATCTATAAAATGGGTACTCTTAATTAAATAATTAATTAAGGAGGAAAACCTGACAGTTGAGGGTGATCTCGGCCCAATCATCTTCAAGTAAAATTATTTCCTTGCTCAACAGTTGAACAAGAAACAGTACTTCCTTACAAAGTACTGAACCCAAGACAGATCATAGGTTGTAATGGTACAGGTTCTTTTTTTTTTTTTTTTTTTTGCACTTTGATTGATAAATAGTCACCAGTGAATGACAATTATTGATGATCATAAGATGAGCTGGCTTTATAATAAGACGAATAAAAATAAATAACATAAAATATCAAATTTTAATACAACCACTATTCTATCTTGAGTATAAGGATGAGAGCATGGTTGATTTTTTCAAGTTTTCCAGGTCATCTTTGGAAAAATATTAGGTCATCAAAATACTAAACTTGTATAAAGTGATGTTTATCAATAACAACTTCACATTATTGGTGCAATATCTAACATTTTAATGAAGAGAAGAATAGTTGGGGTGCTCAGTCAAAAAAGGAAGGCAAAAAATAAATTATAATATTTATTTTTTACATATGCCGACGTTTCGACCTGAAGTTCAGGCCTTCATCAGGGCTTTCTCCTTAAGTGCCAAGGGGAGAATGACACTTCACCATTCTCTGACACAATGACCATTCTCCCCTTGACACTTAAGGAGAAAGCCCTGATGAAGGCCTGAACTTCAGGTCGAAACGTCGGCATATGTAAAAAATAAATATTATAATATATTTTTTGCCTTCCTTTTTTGACTGAGCACCCCAACTATTCTTCTCTTCATTATCCACGACAGTCAACCAATTACCAATTATGAATCTAACATTTTAAATTTTGCAATCTATAATATTGGAGGCCTATTTTAATTTTTTTTATTTTATGTATATATATGTGTGTGTATGTGTGTGTGTGTGTGTGTGTGTGTGTGTGTGTGTAAGTGGGGTGCTTCAGTAAAGCTTGTGAATAATAAGATAAGGTTTGATAATATTTTCACATATTTTAAAAAAACGAAAAAAATTTATGTTGGCTGTTATCTGTGAAAAACGTTTTATAAAATCTTTCATTTGTAATAATAAAAGTTATTTGTTATATTGAAACTATATCTGAACCCTTCGTGAACTGTTGAACTAGCCTAAATTTAACTTATATATATATACATATATTTAAATATTGGATCAAGTTCTGATTAATACAAAATCAAATCAAATTTAAATAATCAGAAACAGTGTAGATAACATAATTTTCATAAAATTTTATCACATTCCACAACCCAGTAGAAGAGTTTTGAACAGTGTTGTAACATTTATAAATATAATCAAACAGCATTATCTCATCTTCAAACAGAATGTTTTCCTCTTACCATTTTCTTCCATATTTGTAGATAATGGATGACCTTCAACATGGTTCAGAATTTTGGAGGGAAAAAAGTGCAACACAATCAAATACATGCTCTATTAACCTGTTCAATCTCAGACTAAATCCATGATGTATCCTTATTCTAAATACGAGGTCATGAGACGGAAAAAAAATTGATATTCTTAAAAAGTTTCACTATCACCGGAATTTTCGTTGTCGATAGTTTTTTAGTTCTTTTGGACTAGCAACTTCTCAAGTACAGGTTTTACAGAACTTTTATTTAAAAGTTATGTCGATTACACTAAAAAGTCTATCTAAAAAATTACTTTTATTCATAGCTACTCAAACAAATGACACATTAGAATTATGTGTAATTTATTTAAGACAAACGATAACTCTAATTTAAGCCCAATTAGTTTATTTTCCAATTAAGGGAACCTTTTTTTTAAGAGCTTGAATAAATAGAAGCTAAACTTATACGTTAAACCTGTTACTTTATTACAAAAAAGTTCTTTAGAAATTTTATTTTAAAATCTTTTTTCCTAAAACATTTCAAAGAAACTGTTAAAATAGATATTGAAGAAAGCTAGTCCTTCTACATATCATGAGTGATAAATAGTAAGGACGCAGTCATTATACAAATTTTTTTTTTATTTGTGCCAACGTTTCAGTTCATGGTCAGTACTTGAAAGCTTTCAATGCTCGAACCACGCCCTGAAGATGACCCACATGTTTAGGTTGTAACGTCAAAAAAAAAAAAAAAATTTGTATAATGACAGCGTCCTGACTATTTATCACCCATGTTAAAATAGAACTTTAAAAAAAAAAATTAATAAAATTTTCAACCTCTACTATACACCCTATATTTGCACAAATATTGGTCGACGACCACTCATTTTGCAAATAATTTTTAGTGAAAAATATGTTTTCTCATATAGCATAATCAAAAACTAAGAAACCAGTTACCAAATTTAATATACATATCTCAAAGAAAATTATAGATGCCATATTGCATAATAGATATATAAGCAACATCATAACATTTAAAATATAAAATACAGTAGTATAGACCACTATTCTGGGCTCTCAGGGGAATAGATTTCGACAATAGGAGAAAAAGAGGTGTCAAAAGGAAGATAATTTCATGTGGAAATGATGAATCCTAATTCTGATCCTTAAATTCATACTATAGCTTAAATAAAGGTCAATAAAAAAAAGCCTAAGGTCTAAGGTGTGTGCTTTATACCACAAGACAGAAGTGAAAACATCAACAAGGAGAGGTTGATAATATGAAAAATAAATTATAAATAATAGCTCGTTATAAAGAGGATGAAATGCTGAACATTTCCCTCATGTACAGTATGCATGTCTGATTTTTAGTTTTTGAGATATTTTAATCCATATATTCATTAAAAATCGTTATCATTTGGTTTTCGACACTATTGTTTTCCTTTTGACCTTCTTAACAGGGCGTCACGTAAAGATACAATTTTGAATAATAGCCCATTACAGAGAGGATGAAATGCTGAACGATTCCCTTACTTACAGTATGCGGGTCTGAGTTTTAGTTTCTGAGATATTTTAATTCATATCTTCTATAAAACTCATTATCATTTGGTTTTCGACACTATTTTTTTCTTTACAACTCTCTAATAAGGTGTCGTGCTAAGATGCAATTTTGAATAATAGCTCATTCCAAAGAGGACGAAATGATGAACATTTCCCTCGCTAACAATAAGCAGGTCAGATTTTAAATTGTTGAGATATTTTAATCCAGATGCAAAACGACTACAATTAGTCCAGCTGACTTTAACCGAGAGTTACACATTGGAGATCTGATGGCTCAATCTAATTCACTCTCCAGAAAAAAGTACAAAACACGCCTAAAGAAGTTTTCATTTCAAAAAGTAAGAAATTGTGTGATTAAGGTTTCAATCCAGATGTCAAGACCTTTCGATGTTCCAAAGCATACAGGCCATTGCGAACTAAAGACCAAAAATACACCACTTTTTAGAGGTACAACGGTCTATCCCACTTTTAGTGTTATTTTTCTAGATGCCAGTTATTATGTGCTACTTATTGAATATTGTCGAGGTTTTTAAAAATTAAAATATCAATTTTTACAGTAGCAGATGATAATTTAAAAATCTATTGAAAAAATAATTTATGGAGAATAACCCTGAGATTACATGAGCATCTTAGCAAGTTGGAAAGAAAAGTTTTAATATTTTTGATAAAAATAAATACATTCTATGACTCATTTAAATTTTATTAATTTACTTATTTAAATCATGGTTGTTACTAACAGCTACTATAGGAACGATTAGGTTTTAACCAGGTCTGGCTTTTATACTCAACACATAAGAGTGAAAAACCAAGAATCATCTTCCATATCTACTCTGTAGGACTCAGAGAGTACAATACTTGAGTTTACGGATAGCTGAGTCTTTAGATTAACTATTAAGCTAAAGGGATATTTTCCAGGGAGTATTAATTACATATTAATATAGTCACCATGGAAATATGGAGCTTCAACAACTGTTTTTTGAAACTATGTTTTTATTTTAATTTTTACAAATAGTAGAATCGTTTAATTCAAAAGAAAAATGATGCATTAAAATGTAAATATAATCAGTTTAATTTGTTTTGATCCGTTTCAGAGCTCAGAATAAAAGTTAGTTAAACATATCCTAATAATAATATCATATATCTATTTGATTATACAAAGGATATTTTAGTTTTATATAAAATCTAAACAATTAGGTTAATATTCACTAATCTCAATCCTGAGTACGATTCATTTAAGCCATTCTTGTGCATTCTTAACTCCCAGTGTAAATATACTTTCTTCATAGCTTTACCTTAAGCATATATCATTTCTCATTGTGTTATGAACAAATTCTTGATTGTAATTTATCTCCCCAAAATTTTAAATATAACATAAAATACACACTATATTATCACTTTAAAGTATCTTATCATGAGAGTAATAGCAGTACTTGTGAATAGTCTGGTCTCTATAGACTGCAATCTGCCAATGTTTATAACCTGAACACTGATAATTGTGATAAGGCACCGATAATCCTTATCTTCGAATGAAATAAAATATATATGAAATAGACGAAAACAAATGTAAGAATAACAAAACACTTTGATTTGAAATTGAAATAGACAAAAACAAATATAATAATATAACAAAAAGAAATATAAATAACAAAACACTTTGATTTTACAACGTATATACATATAAATCACTTTCATTTTACGCATACAACGCATATATGTTCCTACTTTATTTTGGAAGACAAAATAGCTTAATGTT